AGAGGGAGAGAAAGGAGACCATTCTCTCGCCCTCTGTGAGCCATTGGCGAAATGCACTGATCCTGCTAGCTGAGAAGCATAGCGTCCCAAACTGGCAGTGTTCAGGCTGTCACATCCGAGAAAAGAGGAAAAAGCTCTTTGAACATTTGATGCCGTTTTTCTTTTTCTTTCTTTTTTTTTTTTTTTTTTAAACGGCCGGAGGCACAGGCGGGGTGGCGGAGTAAAAAGCTACAGACAAGCGCCCTCTACGAAAAGCAGTGGATGAGGATGGCTCGGTAGGACGGAGCTGTCTTACAATCCCGCCGATAGATTATAACACATCGCCTCCGACTGCTCCATCACCAGCGTGAACTCCTGGGCGAGTTCACTGACGGTGTCGCCGAACAGGCCAGCTCGGGATATGGGTGAGTCAAGAAAGCAAACTTTGTCAACATCACACACATCACTAGATTTAGCCTGAGGGGGCGTTACTGGCCACTAAAGTGGTCATCGTCCTTCCCTGGGTGCGGAGCTCATGCCCAGTTTTGGGTCAGAACCAACGCCTGCGTTTGGTAGTGCTGTTAGGTGGCCATAGCATGCAAGGTGAGGGTGGAGGCGCATGCAGCACACTGCGTGAGCCTAATGTGCCTATCCAGGAAGAAAGGTTTTTACACCCCTCTAGTCGGTCCGGCCGTGGGGCTGGGGGATAAACCATCACCAGAGCCATGGCCGAAGTAGCCTGGGAAAGCACGGCCACAAAGTCTGCTTCTAGATTTGACACCGCGCTCATCAACCTGGAGGAAGGAGCGGGTACGAATCCTCATCAGACATTGACAGCCCACTCTCAAAGATGGTGAGGATGGAAGCGTACGCAGATCGGGCAGAAAAAAAGTGCCCTCAAGACTGCGTGAGCTTACTGTGCACGTCCGGGAAGAAGAGGACGGAAGGCTTTGAATCCTCCACATAACACCCATCTAGTCGGTCCGGTCGCGGGGCTGGGGGATAAACCATCACCAGGCCCACGGCCGAAGCAGCCCGGGAAAGCATGGCCATCATGCCTGCTTTTTAGATGCCAACGCCGTGCTCTCCACCCTGAAGGGAGGGAGCAAGCGGGTCCGCATCCTCATCAGACAATGACAGCCCTTCCTCCGATGCAGCGATGTACATCTGATCCTCGGTGTCAAGTGACAGAGCGACCATCCGAAGAGGGAGAGCTATTCTCACCTGAAGCTTGGATGGAGCGATTGAAGGAGCGAGAGGTCTGCAGCCCAAAGGCGGTGGATTTATTTCCACTGAAATCCTCAGATCTGCCCAAGTGCCAACCGCAGTGCAGGGGACAACTGTGGTGGGTTGCTCTTTTGCAACTTTTTCCCTATATACAAACCGCTCTTGGATGACTGGACCCAAAGAACGCCAGGCAAGGAAGAAAAACCCAGCTCGACCGTCTGCCACTGCGTATACGCGCTCTGGACCGGGAGAAGCTGCTTTTCGATCTCTCTCTGTAGACACAGGTAGGAGAACCCTCAAAGACTCTCTCAGAAGCTACTGAAAGGCTCTGAAAGCGAATAGGATGTCGAGCATTGCACTAGCCATGTCTTATATACTTGACTGATTGTCATTGACGCCAGCTGTGCATGCTGACGCTGCCAATTCATTTGGCATTTCGTTGGATTTTAAACTCTTTCAGATGATTGGTTTCTGACAAAAACCCCATATTGTGGAAGGTTTTCCACATAGCATTGGAGTTCCCCATCCAACGGGGAACTAAATCAATAAACAGAATAAAAAAAAAAAACATTAGAGAAACCAGGCTTAATTCGGTTCAACATGACCAGGTCTCTTCTCACCAAAGGTCTTGTACAGAGCTGCAGTCTGGACATCAGAAGTAACAAACCAAAACAAAAGAAATATAACCACTTGATCACAAAGAAATCAAAGAAATACCTGTGATATCTATAATCCTCAGGTCTTGCACAGTAAAACAAGTGTAACGAGTATTGGCATGAAGGGGAAATAAAGACAGATACAGTGAAATGTGTAACAAATTAAGTCCTGCATCAAATCAGCTGCCAGGTTGGTTTGCGATTATTTCTCTAAGCAGTGCCACGAAGAGATATCACTCCAGAACCACTGTAGCCGTAAACGAAGGGGGTGTAGCAATGACACTGCTTTCTATCAATTCAGCCTGGGTAAATCAGATTTGACAGATGAATCAGCACTCTGTCCAAGTTCACTTAAACATCCAAGCAGAAAATGTCATATCATGCATACCCAAACAAGACAAGCCTAAACTACATTAGAAAGGTGAGGAACTTGAGTGTTAAATAGAAATTATATTTTACCATTAGAATCATACTACAACAGATTCACGGATTCTTTAGCAACAACAGGTAAATATAAGGGGAAAAAGTGCAGCAAAAAGTAAAACAATATGAGCTATAAATCCATGTCTAAATTCCACAGTAAAGTAAAACAATGTGACAGGGCTTGTTGTGCGCAAATGGCCTAAGGGAGTCAGACATCCATTCTAATGTATTAAAAAATTTAATTAGACCTAGATTAATTTGAAGTGGGCAGGTTATACACTAGTTACAATGTAAAAGAAAGAGTTTGATAATTGCATTGCAATTAAAAGTAAAATTTTTTTTAATTATGATAATTCCATCATGCAGTAGCATGAACATTCCTATGATTTTTTGTCTATTTTTGAAAGATATTTAATACTGTATACCTGTCAACCCAAATGCACACATTAAATACTTAATTTATTTTGAAGACTAATTTATTCATAAACGTTGTTTTAGTGACCATCATAAAAAAAAGTTTTTCAAGTCTTTCAACAAAGCAAATATTCATTAAAACAATGTTTTGCAAATAAGACTTAAAAAAAAACAAGTAGCACTAAAAGTCTTAGTCGTGACAGTTAAAGGGAGGAATAAAGTGGCTGTTTAAAAAAAAAAAAGATGGGAGGAACTAATCAGTCCCACTCTGTCTTGGTTATTTGAAATTAACCATCAAAAAGCTGCATCTTCCAAGACATTTTACCAAACCTTGCAATACATGTCTGTCGCTCTTGCATTGTCTAAATGTGAAATGAAATCTAAATACACATCTAACATGGTAAAACAGAAATCAAATCATGCACATGTAGAAATAGTACGCTTAGAATGAATTCTCATTAGCTCACTTGCTTTTAGTTGCCTTCTTGCACAAATATGTTGATATTTGGTGGTTGACAATAGTCTCTCGTTTGCATTGATTTGTGTCTCAAGGATACATGTATATTTATGAGGCTATCAGAATAAGAAAGAATAATTTAAGATCTCATTGGGAGGCTAGGCATACCTTCATTAACATAAAGAGGCAATCACACCGACAAATTGCTGTACAGTAATTATCTATGAATCCATCAGTCTGAAAGATCGTGTGGAGTCAGATTTATCAGCACTCAGACACACTACAAGGTAGCTGACAAAGAATCCTAGCTCATAGGATTTAGTTTAGCATTTCAGCTTTGTAAGCTATAATAGCTTTAAAATCAGTGTTAATAATAAAGGTTCCAAAAGAGGATTTTCAAGGTGACGCCATAAAGAATCATTAGGTTTTGTTATTAGTTCCAATAAAGTGTAATATTATCATGATGTTAAGGTGTCAATGTGATACTCTCATAAGTGAGAGAATGCAGCTAATGTGTTATTAGCATGTTGACAAGCTAGAAATTTAGGTTACCCTTTATTTTGTAGTCCACTTTGGATATTGATCTAACTTTAAGTACCTTAGCAATCACATCAACTAACTCTCATTTGACTTGTTTTAGCAGAAGTCAGATCAAGGATGGGGTTAATAAAATAATAAGACATTGCAAGTAGCAATGTTTTTGTATTCAGTCTGTTAAGTTTCATCAAAATAAAATTATAGCAGGTATAAAGCAGACAGTCTTCTAATACCACTAAAATAAGCTTGTTACATAAAGTGAAATAAAGTATTACAGATACTTAAGCATAAAAATGCTGAGCACAATTACTGTATATTGTTGAAAATAGTGAATCTGTAATTAGCCAGAATTAGTAATTATTATTGTTGTTAGTAGTGTTAGTAGTAGCAGCAGCAGCAAGAGAAGCAGTATTTTGTAGTAGTAGTAGTGGTAGCAGCAGTTTAAACACTTTTTATTAGCATGAATTAATTGTGATTCAATTTATTGTTATTCTCATCTCCCATCTTGAATGACGTTTAGTTATTCAGACAATTATAATATTATGAGCATAATAATGATCCCTGTCTTGGAACAGCTGTTCCAGCTTGTGCACCCCATGATATCTAAAAAAGCTTAATAGGCAATTCTATTTCTTTTGGAAAAGCATAGCTGTTGGGTAGTCTGCCCCTAATGATGCAATCAAATGGCAGTTAGGCCTGCACAAAATCTATGAATGCAAGATGTAGATGTTTAATGTTTTCTTTAAACCACATTAATTGGTTAGTAAGATTGTAGATAATAAATCAATGTATGCACCTTATGTTTAATTTTGTGCATTTTTAATGCAATTCTTGTGTGAATGTCCTCAATCCTCTTTCACATGGGTGTCCAAACCTGTTTTGGGAGAAACAATGTCCTGCAGAGATGAACTTTTGTATTTCATATTGTAATAAAGAGCATGTGAACCACCTAATGAAGAACTTATTAAAAAAATCTTTAGACAGCGGCACTCCAGGAGCCCTGGACAGCCCTGGTTTAACTCATTTTACCATACTTCCACAAAATTCACTGCAGATTCCATTTGGCCCTTGTGATCAATTAAAATGCTGATGAAGATAGTAATGCATGTGTATGAAATGAGGATGGATGATCAACCTGTAAACATCCAACTCCAGTATGGTCCTTTTGTTTGTACCAACTTGAACACACTCTAACACATTCAGTAACTAAAAGAAACCATCTGAAGCACAACAACCAACCCACAATAGCCTGAATCATATATTCACACATCCTCAAATCTGCAATCCCACAGTGCCCTGCTCCCTACCTGCTTGTTTTTGAGGTCGAGTGAGAGTTCATAGTCGGAGGTGGTAGAGTGGCTGCATGCTCCATTCCTCTGTACTCTGATTGGTGAAGCAGTGTGATGCAAGCTTGCCCTCCTTCCTGTGCTTCCAGTACTTGGTGTTTCTTTCTCCTGCTCCTCTGTCCCCTTCTTCACCTCCTCCTGTATTGGTTGTGGTGGTTGTGTCTGGGTTTTTTCTTCCTCCTGTACTATCTCTTCTGCCCTCACCTCTTCCTTTTCCACCTCTGCACTCCCTTTCTCTTGTGCATCACCTCCGTCTCGATCCCCATCTCCCCCTCCTTCATTGATAGATGTCACGGTGCTCTCTGCAACATGATGTTCCACCTGGACCTCGGATTGTGGGGCACTGGTTGGGGTCACCCCATGTGATGGTGATGCGACAGGTGATGGTGTTGCAATGGAAGAAGGTAAGGGTGGCTCTTCACTGTGGAAAGGAGGAGAAAACGAAGAGTCAGCCTGCAGACCAGGCACTATTTGACCTTGTCCTCCATCTCAGGGGGTGTGGCCTGGGGATGAGTCAATGTCAATCTCTCCCTCCCTTTTCTCTCAACAACTGTGCCCTTCAGGGCAAAGAGAAAGAGATGAAGTGATTGTCTTTGGAGTTGTAGCCCCTACCGTCAATTCCAGAATGGACTCGAAAGTTACCAGACAACCAGAGGGGGAAGGTGGGACACACAGTAAATTATGACACCCAACATGTGACACACACAGACATGACAGACAGTCATGCAGCTATATGTGTGGTACATTTACTGCTCTTTGTAGTTGTAGCTAAATAATTGTTAAGGCTAAGTCATTGGCGTTCTGTAAATATGTTAGATCCCATGAGGTGAAGTCCCACCCACACATAAGTGTCAATATAGTGTCAACCTAATCCAATTATGAGAAGCTTTTGAACCCACTGAACAATCTTGTCAAACAAAACAACCACCAGCTGACTACAGATGTTAGGAAACTCAACATGACATCCTATATAATTGCAGCACTATAACTGGTTTTCTTGCATATCTAAAAATATGCCAAAAATGCTTTCAATTAATTAGCAACTAATTTTTAATTAATTGTGATTGCATTATAGTCTATTTTAACTTCCCTTTTTATTCATGTCACATTAGACCACTCTCTTCATTATATCCACCTCTGTTTTTCTTTCTGGGTTCTATCAGTTTTGTCTCTTGTGCCCTTTGCTTACTCACATGGTTCTTTCTTGTAGCATGAGCGAGTGTGATTGTGTATGTGTGGTGTGTGAGACACAGATGCATTAGAAGCACTAGGGCCCTGTATGCATTTATGTAAGCACAGTCTAATATCACGAGTGCTAGAGGACAATGATAGGTCATAGTGAGAGTTCTGTACACAGACAGGCTTTTACAAGGCTCTGCTGACATCAATGTATGCATGAAGCAAAGAAAATCAATTATCTTAAAGGGGATGGAGGGTCGGGTCTCCACTTATTTTTCATTTTTTAATAGAATCAGATTTTTTGTTTTTTAGGCAAGGTTTTCCCAAATAACAGCAAAATAATATGGTACAGATATTTGAGGGAGTGTCATTTGTGTACCTGACAAGGTTTTGAAAAGGGTGACGTGTAAAAGTTTGGTATGAATTAGCTGAATTATGGCTTTGAAACTTGTGAAATGCCTATCTCAACAACAGTTCAACACATCACAAATTCTCTTCTGACACAAAGGCTGCACTAAAAGGTGGGATCTTCTTAGATACTTTTATTTGTCTAAGACAACACAATACATATATCTTTGCCGAGTCAATCACAGAAAACTATTCACTGGGTGAAATCCTAAAGAAGACGAAATCAAATTATCCAATAAATGTTGTATTACATATCTTCTAATCCTTCACCAGCCAATGACAAAACAATACAAAATAAACCAAAAAAGCAATTTTAACCAATATCTGTGGACACTATGCATGTTTAAACTGGTTAAAAAGCTTTCTGCAACATGTCCATGCTTGTGATTCAAATGTGGTTAGGATGAAAGGTGCATGAAAGTTAATGAAACTTGTACCTTATGTGGGTAATACTTTAGAAAGCAAGACAGCTCAATTTTTTGCAACAATTTGGAATATGTTTTTCTTCCAGCTATACAGAATTGATTGTCATTTAAAAAATATGATACATTTCATTATGATCTATGATCAATTTTGTCTAGTGTCAGCAGGGAATGTTGTTAATAGGAAATCTCAAAATCCCTAACATATTAGCGGAACTATTCAAATACATTAGGGGTTTAAATGCTTGTATCCAGGAATCACTGGAAAAATAAGACTTACAAGACTTACTGTAAGTTAAACATGGTTTATGGTATAAGTAGTGCCTGTTTCTAAATGCATTTGTGGCATCACTGGTAGGATTGAAAGGGCAGATAAAGATCAATTCCTTGCAGAAATGGCTGAGCTGATAAGACAGGAGTCAGTGAGCACAAATCAGAACATTAAAGGCAGTATATGCAGCATGGCACATGCATATAGGATTGTGAAGGATTGGATGAAAAAAAGTAAAAATCTAAGTGCTTGTTCAGGAATAAAATACTGCTGAATTTACAAAAAAAAAATGTAGGCCTATAATGAAGGCAGCACTAACTTTTTTTTTCTTTTAAAGAGGATAGAAAATAAAAAGAAACATTGCAGGTCAAGTTGTTTCATAATGACAAATAAAAATTATTCCTGGGAATCTTTTTTTTTTTTTCTAAAGCGTTCTTTTCAAATACATTGAAAATAAAATAAAATAGCTACATTTTAATGTAACAAATAAATTTATTCTAGTGTTGCTTTACACAATTTCAGTGACAGTAATTTCAGTTTACAGTTATTTCAGTTAAAATTTAATGTGGAGTGCATAAAAACAACACCTTAACAAAGCAATATTGGGTCAATTAAAGGGCAGGTTAGAATAGGATAAATGACCCACTGCACATTTGCAGAAAAATTGTACTCCATATTTCAAGATTCATAGGCACTTAGAGTCAGTCCAGTGGACTGAGGACGAATCATGTAAATTTAATCTATTCAATCTGAAAGTTTCAAAGAAGTGAAAATGGTGAATAATAGATGTTGAAATATAGCTTGTTCTCAGCAGGTGGCACAGCTAGGGTACAAAAATAGATTGTGCTAAAAACACAGAGTCCTCATTGTCAGATAAAATTGTGTGAGTGTGTTTGTGTGTGTGTGTGTGTGTGTGTGTGTGTGTGTGTGTGTGTGTGTGTGTGTGCGCGTGCGTGTGTGTCTCTCTGTGTGTGTGTGTGTGTGTGTGTGTGTGTGTGTGTGTTTCTCCTGAAAAAAAAAAAAAAACAGCTTGAACCAGCCTAAGTTGTTTGGTTGGTTTTAGCTGTTGACCAGCCTGATTTTAGAGTGGTTTGTAAAATGAAATCTGCTCCAAATAACAAATCACTCTGCAATCTCTGCTTTAAATGCATTTATAAATTAAGAAAGGAGTAGATCTATAAGCTAATGGTGGAAAACTACACAAATGTAAATATAACACATCATTTGGTTCTAGGCCCAATGCCGCCTCGATTTTGAGTTCCACTATCACCCTATCACATGTGACCTCATCCCCTTGGACAGCCCAGAGAAGATGGGCTAAATAGACTTGAAATAAGATATGTTTCTCAGAGGTGATTAAATCTGCCTTTGCCGATGGTTTCAGCTCACCTAAAAAATAAGTACACGCAGTCAAAACTGAAATAATAAACATAATAAAAAACACTCTGGAACAGACCAAATAAAGAATACGATCAAGAAAGTGGAAGGCTTTGCAAAAGACAATGGTAACCAATCTGAAAGCAAAGAGGATCTTGCTTAGAAAAAAAAAATGTGAAGACATGGATGGAAGAATGAGAAGGTGCAACACTAAGTTCTACAATGTTGGTGTAGAGGCTGTTAAGAGAATCATTACAGCTAGAAAAAGAAGTACTTCTTGCACCAAGATGTTCAGATAGTAAGCTGCGGGTCATCATGGCTAAACTTCATTATTACCAAGACTGTACCATGGTACTGAGACGCAGCCTGGCCCGGCTGAGATTTAACGGAGATTCAGAACTACAATGCAGGTGTTGCCAAGGCCAGGGCCGCATTCACCGGACATTTAAAAACTGCTACATAATCGCCAGGATGTCGGTTTGGTGTCTTATTCCCAGTCTGACTACTTATCTCTCATGATGGTAAACAAAAATAATTCACAGACCCAGATGAGGTGATGAGGCAACGTTCTGATTGATGTCAAGGACAGCTTTGACAGGACAATATTTAAAGTTTTGCTGCAGACATTATTTCAAACTACTGTTAAAGCTTTTCTGGTTCTTCCTAATAGCTTAGTTATATGATTAGAAGTTTGTATTTTTTTTTTTTTGTCAAATTAGTTTAATTTGTGAAATAAATAAAATAACCAGTTTTGTTGGACTGTTTAGTACCACTATGTGATGGTTTAATCATTTAATTTAAAACTAATAGTTGTTGCTTTATCCTTGATTGGTGAAGAACCTCCAGAGTGACGGTTAATTTTTCAAATGGAAAAGTATGTTATTACATGTTTAAAAATTGTTATAATGAAACATTTTGAATCCTGATGTAATGTTACTATTTGATAGAAAAGCCATTGCGTTAAATGGTGATACAGACAGAATATGTGGGTAATATGAATATTAAATAACGTACTGGTACTGATGGGCGTTGGTCATCACTCGCTGGTTTAGAAGTCTCTGCAGTTGAAGTTTCTTTGTTTTACAATCTAGCATTATTTGTTTGCAAAAATTAACCCTGGCCAAACAAAATAGGATTAAAATCCAAATCTTAATGTAATTTATTTTTCTTCAAACAGCTTGGAAACTGAACTGCATCCTAAATCTTGTGCTCGGTATGTCATTGTTTTTAAATCCAAACAATAAGCAAATTTAAGTAAAATGGTATTGTGGTGAATGAAATTAAAATCAATAAAAAAGACTTCAACATAGTATTTATGGTTACAGAAAGTTAATGGTTACAGAAAGTTGCCTGACCTTGGCCTGCATTACACAAATAACTTTGAAGAGCAAAGATCCCAGCTTATAGAAGGACAAGATGTCACATCCATGCATTACTAATTACTATTTGTTGCATCACCGAGCACACCTGGAAAAGGATTGTATTCTATAACACACATATATACAGTGAGAACTGAAATGTATATATATAAGGGGAAAATATATATATATATACCTATATATACCTATAATATATATACACCTGGAAAAGTATTGTATTCTATAACACACATATATACAGTGAGAACTGAAATGTATATATATAAGGGGAAAATATATATATAATATATATATATATATACAGTTTAATGTCAGATTTATTAGCCCTTGTTTATTTTTTCCCCAATTTCTTTTTAAAAGAGCAAAGATTTCTTCAACACATTTC